TATACTCTAGGTTATGCTTGGTCATATGGGCTGAGTTGTATTAGTAATCTTTGGTTCCGGTAATGTCTATGATAAAACACCACATAATGTTTTCTTGACTCGATGAGGTGTCATCTCATGTTTTGTCATTCTAAGCACCACCAACAACATCAATCGCTAAAATATGATTCCCAAAACAGCAAAAAAAATAGAGTGACAATGCAAAATAGGCAACCAGAATATGTTTTATTTATTGATTTAATGATAACATTATCACAAACCCAACTCTTATTAATAATTATAAAATCGATATTGAAGTTGGATTCTCTTTGATGGTAGCTTTCAAGGGAAGACGCACGATCCGTGTGCTGCAAAAAAAAAAATAATAATAATAATAATAATAATAAAGATATGAATTATATTTTATATCTACTATTCTACGTGATGTAAAAATGACACATCACTTACAAGGATCTGAAACGGTGGTCATGCTGTTGCTGCCAAAGTTACACGCCAAAGGTTGGGACTGAAACGACTTGTAGTATAGATTATAGACGACGGAAACGTGTTCGAATAATGTGTTAGGCTCGTAACATGCACCGTCGGGTTGAATGGAGTGACAATCAACGCCACCACCGCATAGACTATCGAGGTCTTTTCGAAGTGCCACTGGATTCGCAAGGGGATTTGCTATGCACCACGTACGAGCCTAACAAGTAATAATAATAAACACATCACATATGGACCAGTAACTTGGAGAACTTATATAAGAGAATAAAAGCAGGTACAGGAAACTAGTCGACTTACTACTCCGCGGTTTATTCCAACGTCGCTAGACTCTATAGAGAGAAAAAATAAAAAAAAAATTAAAGGAGATCGATCGATCGTATTAGAAATATTTTGAATATTATATGTGAAGTAGGATGGATTTAGAGGAACTAGTGATGGACGTACCTGTGCGGATCATTGCACTCATGAGGACGATCAAGGCGATGAGTCCACAGGAGGATAGTGTTTTTGCCATGGCCATTTTGTTTTCGGAACTACTTCTCGGTGTCCAATACTTGTGTTAGTAAAGTCACATTCGAGAGGCTTTATAGTGAATGCGGTGGTCCACATGATCGGAAGGGTAAATGCACCTGTTGATATTGTGATATAATTCATTATACGAAATATATAAGATGCGCTTGAATAATGGATATGTTCACCGTATATAATACTATTTTACATTTCTTATTTCCTTATTGTTTATCGTAAGGTTTGGTGCATCCAACATAAAAGATATGCTAAAAAAAAAAATACAATGAAATTGGTAGAATCTTACGGTGACCACATTCAACGCTCGCGTTCAACGGTGTATTCGTTCGGTCTAACCTTTGGAGCTAGAAGGAAGGCCTAATGTCACAAGAATATCTACTTACTGACCCTCTCAATAAATGATTGAGCAAAGAGACTCTACCTCTAATCTATAATACTTTCATTTCCGGGGGTAGCAATCACTCTCTTTTTGTATAGATACATCCATCTCGACATAAGTGTCACCACATTTAAGCTATTGAACGGCATCTACTTATCCTTATTAAAGTATTCTTGAATCTCACCTAGTAGGTGTAGACGTTGCTAGGGGTAATGTAAACTGTCGCTCCACTCTTGTCTCAATTAGCACAACAAATGACACTATCATCCTAGTCATGATCAATACTTCAATCGTCATCGGCTCTATCGTCCGTTGAGATCCCTCTTCTCGTCGTGATGCTAACATCTTGAGATCGGCCAAGACTTAGTAGAACCACCGATCAAAGGAGTGCCTCACTCCTCAACCATAGAATTCAGCACACCGCCACACCACTGTTCTACTTTACTCGAATCTGAGACTGAGTCAGCGGATTCGATAGATTACTCCCTCAACAACATCAATCTCCCATCGTTAGAGGCTTTTGATAACAACATCAACTTGATAGAGCATATTGCCACCTTTCGCATCTAGATATCGTTGTTGGGCACCTTGGATGCACCGATGTGTCGTGCCCTTTCGACAACACTAAGAGACCCAATTCGAGAATGGCAATCAAAGGAGAAATCCTGGGCGGAACCATACCGGAATTGCTTGTAGCGGTTGTAGGAGTCGAGAGCCCAACCCTTGTCTCTATCGGCAGCCAGGACGGAGAAGGCGACGAGGCATAGCGCCGCCGCGGCAAGCCGGGCGACCACCGCCGTCCGCCGCACCGCTTCCTCGCGGCGGTCCCGGTGCAGGATCCCCGACACGACTCGCGACCCAGCTGGCTCCGGTTCCCTCTGCCCGCTCCACGAGTGTCACCTGCTGGGGGCGGAGTTAGGCGGGGCGGGGCTCGCCTCCGCCATCGCCATCACCACAGAAAGATCGTTCCGGCCGAACACGGCGGACGACGGGGGCGAGGTGGAGTGGTCCGGGATGCTGTTGAGAGGACTCGGAGGGAGGGAGCCATCCGCCTTGCGGAGCGGCGATCGACTGGACTCGGTCGCCATGGGGTTTCTGGGGCTGAGGCCAGATGCCTTTCTGGTTAATCCCACTACATTATAATTTCTTTGGCTGCGGGAAAGGGGCGGTGGCGGAGGGGGACCACCAGAAAAGAAAAAGACTTTTAGTCGCACCGCCACCGTTTATTACTGATGCAACTTTATAGAATACTCGCTTTAAGATTAGGGAACTACGTACGTGGGAGAACATACGGCGTGGGTCCTGACATCTGTTCACTTTGGGTATCCCGGTTCGACAGACCGTGGGCCCCGTGTAGATAGGCCCATGGGACAAACGGGTAACGGGCCAATTGGTCCAAAGGCATGATTTGCTCGGACTACGTTACTTCCCTAACCTGTATATATTTCTTATCACGCCCTTCCAAGAACCGGCCTTGACGTCATGAATCATCCCTCGTCAAACACCAAACTATCCTAGGGAAATCACTTCGCTGTTGTAAGTAACGACAAAAGGTGTGTGAGTTCTATCTATGGAGATGCATTATAAAAGTTACGTCTCACATTATGACCACAACTATCACATCTCAGATTTGTAAAAAAAATAAATTATTTTTTTTATTTTTAAACTTAAATTGATACTAAATATTCTTTAACTAGAAAAAAAAAATCTTCTTGGTGAGGTATAAGTGATAAAAAAAAAAACTTTCTCTTCCAAGCTTAAGATCTATTACAATTAATATATTTATTTTAAAAATAAATATGTGATAAAAATATATCAATACTAATCATATAAGTCGATAATAATTTTAAAATATTATAAAAATATTTTTTAATACTCATAATATATATTAATAATTTAATATTAAATGATAACGTATAAATTTGTTATGAAACTTATATATCAAAAAAATAATAAATAAATTTTAAATAATAAATAAAATTATGCATCAGTTACATACAACACATCTCGATGACATACAGATAATAAAGACATAGATCATACCTGATGATATGCTCTTCTAATAATAGATTAAGAGATATATTCTCAATAACAAATGAAGTAGTATCTCTCACCTGACGGACAATGAATGAAGTGATATATGATAATAATCACATTAATATAATCAATTTTAATTTAAAAAATAATAAAAATATTTAAATAATATATTTAGATAAAACTTTTAATTTCATAAAATCATAAAGATATAAGATATAAATACACCTCAATAAACGAGAACCTTAATTAGAATAATCCAATTGAGTTAAACCAAACTCAATTCAATTATAACCTAATTAAACCCATCTCAAATCCTTAGTTTAGATCACTATACATTGGTCTAATTTTGATTCAATTGATTTCAATAAAGTCAAGTTGGTATAGGATCATCCTGAATCGATTTGAATCATCAAATATATCTCATTCAATAAAAGAAGAGAATATTAGACTATGATGCATAGTGCTTATCCAGACGGAATCGATCCACCTGAGCCTTAGACTAACCATAGTGCTTGCACATATCTATCATGATAGCTAGTTGAGCTGAGGTATAACATGTTAGATAGTGCGGTGATAATTTGTATAGCCCTAGTCGCAAAACTGAGTGAGCCTAACTTAACGAGCAAAGTTGAGCCTTACTCATAAGTCGAGCTAAGCCTTACTATTGTACTAGGTCATACTTTGCTTACAAGTTTAATCGTGCCTAGACATATGGGTTGAGTTATGCTTAACAATATAAGCTAAGTCATGTTTGGCTACAAGGTTATGCTTGATCATATGGGTTGAGTTGTATTTACAGTTACACCATACCTAACTATATGCATTGGGTAATATATGGCCGCATGAGATGAGTTATGCTTAGCCACATGGGCGAGATCATACTTGACACACCTAACCACATGACCTGAATTATTTTTAATCATATGGGTTAGATCATACTTAACAATATGGGCTACATCATACCTGGTCATATGGCCTAAATGATTTTCTAATTATACATAACCATATGTGTTACATCATGATTGATCACATTAGCTGAGTTGTACTTTATCACATGAGTTGAGTTATGCTTATCCATATGGGTTTAACTATACCTAATCACATGTACTGGGTTATGCTGACCACATGTGCTAGGTCATACTTAACTATATGGAATAAGTTATGCTTGACCACATGGACTAGTTTGGTAAATCAACTTAACTCGGGTCCGACTTCATTTAATCCCTATTATTAAATTAGATTATATTATTATTGAATTATTTTAAAATGTTATAAAATAATAATTTATCTTAAATATATTCTTTTTCATGAATTAACTAATTTAGATTCATGATTTTAAATTTAAAACTAATTAAATCATATAAATTCATCCATAATTTCTTGAAATATAAATATATAATTAATAAATTAGAACTATTATTAAACCAATTAATCATTCTAACATAATATTTTTTAAATATTATTATTTATTAATTATAAAGTTTTACAATTAAAATATTATTATATATCATACAAAGTATAATAATTTTAATATTAAATATTTTAAAATATGAATAAAAGCTGATAAAAAATAATAAAAAATCTTATAAGGTTCCTTTCCTCAATCCTCGTAATTAAGAATGAGAGAGGTGGAGCCCCTTTATGAAAGAGGGGAGCCCCTTTAAGTAGGAGAAGATAACCCTAGAAAGTTAAGTAATAATTTAATTTTTATTTTTATTTTTATTTATTTTTATTTTAGTATCATACATAAAAATAAAATTATAATATTTATTTCTTGTGATTAATACATAAAAAATAAAATTTAAAAATAATTACCTCCCAAAAATCACATCACTAGTTAGGAAATAAATCAACAAATAATTTCATTGATTGATCGACTAAAATCCTAACTTGTTCTTAAGAAAATTAATTTTAATAATTTTCTTATCCATACTACAAGAAAGTTAATAATTCAAATAAAAATAACGAATTAATGGTGACTTGAGAAAGGAAAAATCTTCTATGATTACAACAACCTTCAACCTATACTCCTATTCAAAAATAGAAGAAGATTCTTATTAATTTGTACATCAGAGGAGAGCCTCTCGAGAAACTTTCGGTGTCTTTTTCCATCGTATAGGAAGTCATTCACTCACAGAAGAATCATCTCATGGTCAATAGTTTTCTTATCATCGAGGATAAGGATTAGATATATCAGCCAGCAACCAGTTTGGACGGGATAGAAGCTCATAATATGCATATGAAAATGACATTCCTCCTAATATAAAGATTTGTTTGGATATGGCATGTATTTTGTTTGGTATATTTTAAGTTAAATTACCCTACATAGAGATGCGTTCAAGTCCATTATGTTTATGTTAGCAAAAAAAATTCGTGACAAGTATATTTATTTATTTATAATTTTTTGAGATCCAGCCTTTTTATAATTAGGTAGACGATTAATGATTTATGGGATCATACATTCACTATCAAAAGCTTAGAATAATTAATTTTTAATTAATATTATATAATCGATCTCCTGAGATTAAGTCGACATTCTCGTCATTACCAATATCATAAGGCAGTCTCTCATAATATGTTAATTAAATGAAAGTGAGGTGTTATGTGATAATAGTGTGCCGACCATTAACAGGAATAATTTATGGAATTTCTCCTGTACATTTTATTATGTTTACAAGTACTCTTTAGTTGATATCAATTCAAATACAAATTCTCTTATATATTATCTCATATAACATTCTCTCTTATATATTCTCTAAATGGACTACAAAATAGAATTTAGGCAAAAAAAATACAAACGTATATGACGTGAGCTTCAACAGTTAACATTAATAAAATCAATTAATATATAAAATGCGATGAGTTTCTATAAATCATCACGTGTCCATTTAGAGAAACCACAGCAGACACGCTTTACATACACGTAAAGAGGTGGCGTCCTTTTACGCGTGCATATACGTCGATATATACAATGCCACGTTGGAGTCCATTTACAAATGCTCGAGCATGCTATGCTGTCCGTCGCCGTTAACCTCCCATTAAACCATCAATCAATTAATTAATTAATTAATATGTCATTAATTAATTATCATATTTTAAGTACCAGATGTCATCTCTCCCTCTTCCGCTTCTTCTAACAACACCCCAAACGCAGAAGGCCAAGATAGGTTGGTTCGGCGATGCCACCACATGCCATAACGGATATTTTATATCGCATCCTCGCCCGCTCTCGATTGGACGCAGGAAACGCGATATTCCCATTCCCCTCATTCGTTCGTCTCCCCCTTCCCTCTAAATACCCCGTCCGACCCTATCGTCCTCCGCTGCTGCTTTCACTTCCTCTCTCCCTCTTTTCTTCCACTCTGCTGCTTCGTGTTTGAAGGACGGCGCCGGAGAGATGGGAGAGTGCGGGGTGCCGCCGTCGCAGCGGGGGCAGCCGGCGACGTTCCGTGACGGCGCCGCAACCGACCGCCGGTTCGTGAAGCACGTCTTTGATAACGTCCACGGAAGCATCACTCTCGATCCGGTATCGTCGCAAGAACTAGGTTTTCGTATGTGATTCCGATGTCGAGTTATTGACTCTTGATCGTGTTCTGATTCTGGATTGGTTCGGATTTTGAGGGTTTTGTTTGGGGGAATCATTGGGTTTTATCGGTGCCGAACCGCCGTGAACAGTTTCGTTTCTGATTTCTCGCTATACTCCGTCGATAACGTTGTCTCGCTATTCGTCGATGAGATACTATTTTCCTGCTCCCGTTAAAGTGCGTTTCCGTGGCTTGAATCTCCAAACTTGTGGGGGTGTGACGGACTTAGTCTCTGCCAATTTTCTATGGAGAACTCATCCACTTTTACCTCCTAAAATGAAGGCAAGCAGTACATCTGTCGATCTAATGGAAAATATCTCGAGTTTTGTTGTCGTTCAGTTAGGTATTTGGATGCAATATTTTCATCCTCGGAGATTATTCTGCAGACTCGTTCTGAGCCTTGGAATCCGTTGGTTTCGACTCTTCTCTGGATTCCTTGCTTCATTCTCCATTCTACCCCTCTCCTTTCGTCAGCATTCTTCTATACTCTACATCGTATTATTGAGTTCCTTGGAATGGTGGCGATCGTGTTTGGCACATGTTATTGCAACTTTCTCTTGTTGTAGAATATTTGTCACGTGATGACTTGAAAGTTTTACTGGGCAAATCATATTCTACTTGAAGATACTGCTTCACATGTGCAATATTTTGGCAGCACAACTTCTGGTATGGCATAATGTCTCTTGTGAAAGTTCATTTCTGGTGATCTTTATTTCATTGAGAATCTTTGGTGGCTTTAGAATTTCCATGTCTTATTAAAGAAACATATGGAAGAATGTTGTAGGACTCCACAGAAGTAGTGGTGTTGTGCTATTGTTGCAGAAACTGATACAGCAACAACAAGCTGTAATGCCCCAACTTTTTGTGTCTGTCAAGTTGTGGACGTTGAATTATAAATATTGGGCTTTGTTCTTTTTTCTTTCTTTTGTGTCTGTCTTCTCCTTTCTTTTCCTTTTTGTCATTCTATAATAGATGTCTCTGTTACTACATATCAATTTCTTACCAACATTTTGCCCTCTTCTGGTTAATTTCAGCTGAGCTTGAAGTTTATGGACACTGAACAGTTTCAGAGGTGAATTTGATTTTTCACAAGAATTTTGCTACGTATACTGGTGTAATTTTCTTTCCTGATTTTGCATTTTATTACAAGATGCAGGTTGCGGGACCTAAAGCAGCTGGGTAGCCCCCTCCTCTCTCTCTCTCTCACTTTCCGGTTCTTCTCATGAAGCTCTTTTATTTTAGATATGCGATCTTGTTTATGAATCTTGAACTTATAAAATTTGAAAAGAAAGTTAGTTCCATTGGGAATATTTTTAGATTTGATCACCACATTTTATCTTTATGTTTTGATATGTCCCTAAAGTATAATGTCACATGCTTAGAGGGAGTATATATGAACTATATTGGTGGTAAGTTTTGTTATGGCCTCTTATTCTGATTAACTTGTATTGTTAATTTTCTGTGTAACAAGTGTATAAGAAGAGTAAAGTAAACATTGAATACGTAAGTCATGTGTGTAGTTGATTTTACAGTTATAAACTGAACATACGTTAGGAATTAAAAAAAAAAAAACCAAGCGTACCACGTGGAATTAATCTACTTGTATTATAAGCTATAATTTGGTGCGAAGCTATCATGTGAAAATATTTTTTTTTGTGACTCATTGTTTGGTTAAAATGTTTGGAAATTGATGAAGATATTATTTATAGAGTAAAAATTGGACGATTAAAATGACGAGGGGTGTCAGGAGTCTTGTGTAATCATCGTATATATTTGATATTAAAAAAAAACTTTATAAGATAATTGTGAGACCAACGATGTTTTATGGATCTTAGTGCTAGTCAGTTAAGAAAAAATATATACAAAAAGTTTATGTTGTCGAGATGAGAATGTTGAAGTGGAAACGTGGAGTTACTAGGAAAGATAGAAAAATTTTTTTTTTTACTCGTGAATAACTAGTTATCACTTCGATAGAGGATAAGATGAGAGAAAATCATTTAAGATGTTATGGGTATGTACTAAGGAGACATCCGGATGCGATAGTTAGAATAGTGAAACAATTAATGATAGTGGTACAAGGAAAGATAGAGGAAGACCTAAAAAGATTTTAATAGAAACTATAAACAAAGACTTAAGTATTCTAAGCTTAACTAAACATATGACTTTCTACATATCTCAATGGCATCAAAAGATCCATGTAGCTGACCCTAGATAGTTCGGACTTACAGTTTTATTGTTGTTGTTTGTTGTTATTGTTAAATCATTGTTTGGTAGAGTAATTGAAAAGAATTATAATTTTATATACTGCGGAAATTACTTGTGTTTAGTTCTACCTCACACTGTACTCAGGTGTTTGTTTCTCTGCACAATCCGTAAGATGATCATAGTTTGTTTGTTATGAATGGTGCTTCCTTTGGAAGTATATGGAAAGTTCCAGGAATTTTGATTTATCTGCAACTCCCTTTAAGAATGAACACTAATATATACATATTTCAGGTCTTACATGCATGGTCTATCCAGGAGCTGTACACACTCGATTTGAGCATTCCCTGGGTGTTTATTGGCTTGCTGGGGAGGCAGTTCGTTGTCTTCAAACGTACCAAGTCAGAAGCTGCTTTCAGTTTTATTTGCTTATTATACAAACTTAAGAATTTATATTACCGGTCCATACTGAATACTCTTGTACTTGCTGCTGCTGTATGTTAGTATTTCTTTGGTACAGTCAGTATGCTATGTACCGGCATTGAATTGGATCAGTAAACACTGCTCTCAGCATGCTTCCATATTATTATTCTTGGTTTAAAATATCCTAATTATTTGGGAGCATCTCTTAGGTAATTGTCATGCCTGCAGGGATCAGAGATCGACATCGACTGCTATGATGCTCAGACAGTTAAACTTGCAGGTAACTCTGATTAGTTTTGATCAAGTCTTTTAAATTAATATAATAATTTAAAAATTCATATAATATTTTAATTGGTATATCACCTTTTTTTTATCTGTAGGACTCTTGCATGATATAGGCCATGGACCTTTCAGCCACATGTTTGAGCATGAGTTTCTTCCTCAAGTCCTTCCTGGATCAAAATGGTGATTTTTGTTTCGATAGTATATTGGTTTTTATTTTAAATTTTAGAAGAACAAACTGTGCTTGTTCCATCCAAGCTTTGTGAAAACAAACTTTTGGGATCATGAGTTCCATTTTTGAGTTCTTCCTGAAGAAGAAAGGTGATTTTTTTGTTAATAGTATATTGGTTCTCTGTTTAAATTATGGAAGTTATAGTTGACTTGACACTTGTTTCATCCTAAAGGAGATCTTGAGATAGCATCATGAATACTTTCATAGTCTTATGGTATCAACTTCTCTTAACAATTGTAGAGAAATTTAAGATCACATGTGCCTGATTTCTGAACCTTTCATAGATTGTTTATTTTCTGTTTTCTGCCAACTTGTTCCTTTTCCACTTAACTTGAAGAAACTTTTCTATTGTCCTTCATTGTTGCTTCTTCATTGAGTTATTGTTACTCGTGTGATTCAACTTTGGAAAACTAAAGCAATGCTAGTTGATCCTTTTCTCTGCAAAAACAAGTCTAGCTGATTTATTGTGCAGCATGAAGTTCATTTGTTTTTATTTTGAAAAAGAACTAAGTACCACCGAAGCTTTCCTTTACATTCCCTTACATTTCACTTTATTTAGGAATAATTTAATTGCATAGAATGTTATATCTTATGTTCCCTTATTGGTGATACTATATTTATGATTGCTTTTGTCACAGGTCTCATGAGCAGATGTCAGTGCAGTTGGTGGACTACATGGTTGATCAGAACCATATTGACATTGATTCTGATCGCCTTAGAAAAGTTAAAGTAAGAAATATTTTTAGCATCACAACCTTCTATTCTTTTTGGACAGCGTGCACAAACATTTTGTAGCTTAATGATTATGAAACTTTTTTATGTTGGATATATAACTAGTTTCCAAGGTAATTTTGTAGTGCCTGGTCATTTGTTTTTTAGATTACTTCCCCTACAGTTTATGATCTTGGTAATGCCTTGATGCACTTAAATGTCAAATGAGCTGGGTTTTGTTTTTGTTTTTTTTATCTCAAGTAAAATGGACTTTTTTGGCCTCACATTTTCAACGTTTCTGTAGACAGCTATCAGTAATTGCATATAATGTGATTACAATGGTTCTGTAATATAATTCATATTCATGTTTCAAGAATCACAATTGCAACAATAGAAATAGAACATCCAGTCCCAACTATTGGCTCGGATCATCTTCTGCTATATTGCTTTAGCAGTGGTAGCATCTTCCATTAAATTTGTAGAACTTGTTGGCCTTTCTTTTGCCTTTATGAAATCCTAGTATGAGTTTCTATTAGGATATGTACCTCTTCCATTACTTTCATAGTGTCATGCACTTGGTATACGTACAATTATAATTGTTAACAGCTTGATTAATGCATCTATCATTGTGATAATTGGCTTGGTAGCATTGTCCAATTACTAACATTAAGTTCATCAAAATATTAGGATATGATAATTGCTAGTTCAAAGTTCGCTGTGAAAAAGGTAAGTCTTTTTGCCTTTGGCTCGCTTACATTATCTAGTCATTCAGTTCACGGCTCAAATATTGTTTCTGCCCAGAGTTCAGAAGAGAAGCATTTTCTGTATGACATTGTTGCTAATGGTCGCAATGGAATTGACGTGGACAAGTATGGAAACAATTTTATCAGATTGAGGTTATCTGCAGCAACTATAAATCGGTCTTTTCAAGTCACTAATTGCTGTGGAGGTCAATATCTGCAGGTTTGATTATATTGGCCGTGATTGCAGAGCTTGTGGTCTTGGCTGCAACTTCCAGTTTCAAAGGTAAGCAACATCTGTACTGTATTCATTATTTTCTGCATGCAATTTTTTAATATTTTGGATAGGATATCCTTGTTGCCCCCTTCGTTAGCATGAAAATTTTAAAATTTTTCACAACAAATGTGTTTATAGTATAAATAGAATGTACAGGAATTTTGATGTTGTCACTAGTTTTCAATTGTAATGCCTACATTTGGTAGATTGATTCAACTTATGGTGGTATGGGTCCCACCAAGAGGCTTTTTGTCCTAATACACAATTTATTGTTTCCTGGTCATTAGATTATTATTAAAAGAATTTGATTTTATTGTTATGTAGTAATTCACCAGCCTTAACTAAATGAATTTTTATTGTTTCATAACAATGGCCTTAGTTTTGCTATGTTTTTGTCACATTTCCTCTCATAGATTTCTCCGAACTCATCAATCTTAAGCCCAGTTACAGCTGGTGATCCAATTAACATGATAACTGGTTCGTATGGAGGAGCACTTCATTATGCTTGCAGTTACTAGTGATATCTAGGTCAGTTAGACTCTAATGAGTTTTGAGTGGAATACTGCAGTAAGACAAAAGGAAATAGTGTGCCGATCCATGTCAGTGCTGTTAGAATCTGTATCCAAGTATCCAGCTTAGCAATAAGACAAATGGAGATACACAATCATATAGTTGAAGAATTCTATAGTTTATGTAGGATTTTTATGTTTTAGTTTTGACTATATGCAATATCTGAAGATTGGTTTAAAGGCCTGAAAAGCCAAAAGGGTTTACTAGTAATTCGTATAGTAGGTTGTACTAATTGTATGAATTCCTTTAAATATTTAATCAAAGAGCTTGGTGACAAGTTAATTCATCGATAAGTATCTGACATGATTCATGGGGGCAGATGTGAATACCAGGTATGATGCCTCACTAGTAAGAATAAACATGCATATGGAAAGGGGAGTGTTATGATCAAATTGCTTAAATGATTTTTTTATATTTTGAATGTGCTAATAGCTTGTTAGTTATTTGCCATGTTCTTATCACTAATTTCTTATTTATTCTTTTACCAATATATTCTGTGGCATCAGAAATGTATTTCTAAATAATGTAAAGCTCTTCCTACCTTTTTCTAGTCTGTTCTGTCCAGGCTTTTGGAAGGCATGCGTGTCATGGATGATGAAATATGCTACCCAGCTAAAGAATGTCAGTCATATAGTATTTTATTCAAAATCTTTGATTAGACGACATCATTCTTTGACTTGATTTTGGATCAGATCTCAATATTCACAAATTATTTGCAACACGTGCTGACCTTCACCGGACTGTGTATACACATGCAAAAGTAAAGGTGTGTATGTCTTTATTTACCTACTATCTTTGTGTGTTCCTTTCATGTCTGTACGGTTACCACTTACCACTTCGCAATGAATTGTTTTCTTGTTAATATTGTTGATATTAGAGCAGGCTGTATTTTGAATTTTCTATTCGATTACTGGTTAGGAGAGCTTCTTTGGTTCTTCGTGAGATTTCGTGAATGCATTTTGTCATTATTTGCCAGCGTATAATGCGAATCAGTAAATTGGTTGTTTTTAACACGTGTAACTATGTAAGATCTGTTGGAAGCTAACACAATTCTCTGTTGCCTTTCCCAAACTATAATAAACCTTCTTGAACTTGGTTTTGGGTTTAGTTGGTCTTGGTTATCTTCTGCTGTTTCTTACTCCTTTAGTTATCATTCCTATTAGGGTCTTTAACTGTTGGGGATTAGTACTATGTTTGCAGCAAATGGGTGATTGTTGACTTTATACTGTATTAGTCAGTTTCATAAGTTATGCCTGCCAGTCAACCACTTTATTATGTAAGATTGTCCTGCAATAAAATTGACAATATTTTTTTGTTGGTCATATTTCTTTTCTGTCTGATGCTTGGTCTATAAGTCTGTAAGCCAATTGGCTTTTACTTGTTTGGTTGGTTCCATTATCATCTATATATGGTGTATGCCATGCATGTAGTTAAACAAACTTCCATTGCTTTCCCTTTTTCTATATCATTAACAAGTCATGGAACTGTGCTGATGACAACGTCTTTTTCAACCATCATTGACATCCAAACTTCATGCTGTTTTGCTGTCTAGTGTGGCTGGTGTATCATCAACTTTTATTTTAAGACCGTCCTCTCATGAGAATTAGGCAATTTAAATTCCATTGCCAACCTTAACTTTTATCTACTGAAGGATCAAGGTACATATGTTGAGCCCTTGCTAGTCAAGGATTAAGACTGTCAGTTCAATGCTGATATTGTCATTTATGTAATTTTTTGCTGACATTACCATTTATTGATCAAGAAATCCAAGAACATAGTTTTCTAATGCTACTTTGGGTGGGGCCTGGATTGTCATGTCTTTTGTTTTCTCCTTGATTTGTCTATTTCATTTTACAAATTATTCCTTCACAGTTTTTTCAGTATCATTGCCTTATTCTTCTTGCAAAATATTATAATCTGCAATAATTCAGAGAATTTTTTTGTATATTTGACCCATGCATTCTGCTATCTTACTATATCTTTTTGCAAGACCAGTTACATGTTCATTCACTCGTGTGAAGTGTAATTATGTTCCTATGCAGCATGTCCCATTCATTTTGCTTAATTAGTTCTTCCTCATGCTTCATATGCATCAGTTTTACAACTGTTGCCCTTTCAGTGCCAGTTTCTTTTAAAGTTGTATGCTTATTTACAATATATGTTCTCTTACTGCAATTTTTTTATTTAAGGCCATCGAGCTAATGGTTGTGGATGCACTTGTAAAAGCCGATGATTACCTCAAAATATCCTTGTATCCCTTTGACCCAGCTCAATTCTGGAAGGTTTTCTTGTTATTATGTGATATTTCATACTTCATCTTAACCCATCTTTATTCAGATGCATATTTACTTATCGTTTTTTGTTCTCAGTTGGATGATACAATATTGAAAACCATTGAATTTGCTGACAGCAAAAAGCTGAAAGAATCTAGAAATATCATCCAACGTATTCGCCGGAGGGATTTATACCAGGTGATCTCAAAGTTTTGTTTATCTAATATCTAAACCCTGATTCACTTTCAATGATTTTCCTACTACCATTGTCTGATTCTCCGCTTGTTTCAGAGAATTGTATGTTCCGATGCACTTTAAGCATGCTACTCACAAAGTGAGCAAATTCTGATTTTTGTTGTCATAAATATTCTGATCTCAAAGTTCAGATAACACCTTTTTTTTATGGTATGTTTTTTTTTCATTATTCCTAGTGTCATAAATCCATAGCTTCAGAGATGATGTTTCTTTTTTCTTGATTACTTCTGATCTGGCATATATTGCATGCGTATTGAAAACTTCTTTTAGCTGTTTTATATAAACTTTTAAGGAAAGAAGAGGAAACAGGGAGGAGACTGTTGGTTTGGTGTCAGGATTTGTGTTTTCACCATGTGAATGATTCATATAGTTGTTTCCTTGTGTATTATGGTTGGTTATTGGCTTAAGTTCTAAAGTTCTCGAGTCCTAGATGAAAATGCTGAATGTAGTGTCTCCAGTTTTCCCTTGATTATAGATAAGTAGTAACATTAAATTAGGTTGTAGATCCTTATCTGGGATGGCAAGGCCTCAGAGTTTCCTGGAGAACAGAGATCTCCCTGGTATTGATGGGAGTTAATAACTATAGATGATTGTAATGTTGACAGAGCCGTGCAATGCTAGGCATCCGATTTATTGGTTTAACATGCAACATGTGACACAAGAAGATTCTTAAATCATGCCTTATTTGCTGCACAAGCTGCAAGCGGCATGTCTCCTAAATTATACATGAGAAAATTTTCTAGTACCACCACCTGTAGAAAGTTCTGCTTGGAAATAGCCTACTAGCACTCTGAACTAGCTGTAAATAGTCGAAGGCTCACTGAATATTTCATACAACTATTTCTATGTCCTGGCAATGGTTGTCACAGAACATGTCATGCTATCGATGCAAGTTTAAGTATTTCAACCATACCTCGCTGTAAGTACCAGCCTGCTAGCACTTCAAGCTAGCTGTAAATAGTCCAAGGCTCACTGAATATTTATTCCATATGACAAATTCTATCTCCCAGCAATAGTTGTCACAGATCATGTCATGCTATTGATACAAGTATTTACACTATACATTGCATGTCATGCTATTGATGCTTGATTTAAAAAAGTGTCTTGCCTCTTTTTGACAGTTCTGCAATGAATATGCTGTTCCAAAAGATAAACTAGAGCATTTCAAGGATGTCACTCCACAGGACATTGTATGCTCGCAGGTGTGTCATGGCGATTAAATGCATTACTTTGTTGGGTCAGGTGCTTATTAATCTAATTTGCCATTTATGCATAGTTTATCTAAAATGCTTTACATTTTGCAGAAAGCTAACGGAGTGCAACTGAAGGAAGAAGATATTGCTGTGAGCAATGTTAAGATTGATTTGACTCGTGGGAAGCATAACCCTCTTGAGAGGTACTTAGTATAAATCCTTGATAATACTTGGTCATTGTTCAACTCTTTCTCATTTCCTTTTAATTGTTCACTGACGTATCATTGTTTTTTTCATGTGCACTCATTCAGCATCAGTTTCTTCAAGGTAACAAATTTGCTTTTCATATCTGAATATCATGCTTGAACAGATCAACTTTTTTACCTGAAAAAGTTGCCTTGCCATTCAAAAGTCTACCTGAACTGTTTTATTTGTCAGAAATGGCAATTAATGGCTTGTTCTATTGATATCTGTTTTGGTAATGGAAATTATAATTGTAAAGCATAAGAATGTGTTACGGAATCACAATACAAATTATGTGGTTGCATGAACATTTATTCCTTATGGTTTTCAGATTTAATGAATTGTTCATGAGGAATTTTAGAACATTTAGTTTGTCAGTTGCTATTATTTCTGTTACTTGGAGCTCAAGTGCAGACAATAATTATTAGTTCAAGTTGAGAAATCTTTCTTCTGGTTGGTGGAGTGGATATAAGGATAAGCACTAGTGGAATGAAGTTTCATTCATTAAGATAGCTTGTCTATACCACATTCAGTCATCTTCTCCCACTAAATTTGCATCCATTTGTCAGAAGTTCATCGAGTCAAACAGCATGATATAAGTAACGTAGGCTTAAGTTCTGGAGAACCAATAGAAATTAGATGATGATATGTAGCTCTAGTGATGAATCCTGTGTTGCTATACAACAAAAATGATCCTAAAGTCCAACTTTACAAACATAATTTCAAGCTTATTTTGTTGAATCAGTTGTTAAGTGTAAGTTTCTGGTTAAAACTTGATGAATATGAAACCAGCATTTCTCCATAATCATTTGATTTATGTTATGGCCGATCCTTTGGTTCATTAAATACATCTGTTAAATCAAGTTAATTAATGTCTAACATTTGGCTGATATCTGACTCCAGTGCTTCTTGAGGGCCCCATGTAACTAAGTTTGTGCCTTCGAGGGAGCACCTTTATATGGTCATTCTCTAGACTAAAAATATAAAGTGCTGCCAGGATTATCACTGTGTGAAGAAATTTAGCATTACGGAAGATCGCATCAGCCACCTGCTGCCCGCCACTTGTCAAGATAGAATTGTGAGGGTTTATGCCAAGAAACCAGAATTGGTACGAGTGCATATACCAAGCCTCTAACTTCTTTTTCCTTTAACATCTGTCAAGCAGTTCCTTTGTGTTTTTTTTTTCTGAAAAGTAAAATTAAACTACTCTAGGAAGTACGAATTTTTAACTCTGACCAAGCTCATCCGCATTAGTGCATATAGATCAGATGGCCAATTGACATTCACAGTTGATCTGACCTAAAGTATTTCCTTTGTTTGACATCATTTTGGATTCCCCTCTTAACAGGTAGAGGCAGTATCCGAGGCTTTTGAGAACTTCCAACTGAAGATATATGGTGTCAAAACCCAAGTGCATGAGACACCAGAGGCGAAGAAACAACGGCGGTAAAGACTTAAAAGTAGTGCATGATACACCAGAGACGCAGAAACAACGGTGGTAAAGACTTAAAAAGTTTCTCCTTTTTGTGTTTTGCATTCTACAGTCCCTGGTTCTTTCTTCTATCACAGTCCACAAAGGTACGTTACGATAAAAGGAATTACTACTAAAATGTGTCGTATACATGACTAGGGTGGCTCACCCTAGTCACATATAGTCATTTTGATAGATTAATGAAATGATCTTATCTTTTTGTCATTACCCTTTCCCCAAACCTTGCTGTCCGGTTTCTGTAATTGGGAACAGATGTAGCAGTAAGCATTATAAGCTTATAGAATGAAATTTATTGAATTTAGAAAAATCATGTATGATTACTGTGGGAATGCAAATTCAACAGCATAGAAGTAGAACATGACCTACCAAGATGCTACTTATACTGGATAAGATGTTTCCCAAACACAGGTAGAACAACGTACGAAAGAATGTAAAAAGGATAGCAAATGATCTCACTCTGCTACTGGATTAGATGCTCGAGTGCTTTCCACAGGACCTCTTTGAACTTCCTAGCATCAAGCTTCACGTTCTGGTCATCCATGAACGTGGCCCTCATAACATGATACCCACGGTTGTGGAATGACAAGGGGTCCGTGAACACAGGGTGGTCCCTTGGATACTTCTCCTTCAGGCTGCTCTCTTCTATTGCAATGCTATACTCCAAATAGCCGAGACCCATTTCCTTGGCAGGGTTCCCATAATCCTGCATGGCTTTCAATTCCAGTCGTCCCCATGGAACGATCTGAATCAGAATCGCATTCAGCGGCAGGAACACCGAGTTGGTGAGACCCGTTCCGTGCACGCCCATCATCACGTCGCAGGAGTCGACGGTTCGCGCCACGCGAGCCAAGTCGGATCCTGCATCCGCTTCGTCGACCACCACCTCGAATCCCAACTCCTCTGCCATTTCAACGATCTCCTTGGTGTTTGTAATAACTCGCGATTGCTTCCTTCCGACGATCAATAGCCTCGGCTTCCGAGCCGCGAGATCTTCGATGTTGAGCAGTGTCTCTCTCTCCGACGACAAGGCACTCCTCATGAACTTAGCGAAGTCGATCATGGTGTAGCCATTAGGAGATCTCTTAGGGTCGATGTGGAACTCGTTGTGAGCTCGAAGACCCACCGTCACCTGCTTGAAACAATGCACTTCTTTGTCCATGTCGAGGTCGATCACCGGATACTTGGACAGCTTCTGGAGCACGGGGAGGTACTTGGTGATCCACCAGCTTTTGGAGTCGGTGACGACCAACTTAACCTCTCCGTCGAATGGACGCGCCGTCAAGAAGAGGGGAACGAGCACGTCGCTGTAGTCATGGAAGAGGTTACCGGTATATCCGCCAGTGGAGAAGACGACAGCCGGGGCGTCGTGGTTGACGGTGCATCGAGGGGCTTCACTGCTAGCTTTGACCGCAAGTTTTCTGACACCTTTGAGACAAGCTTCGTCTCCCTTGCGAGGATAAGGATGAACGTGCCAAATTTCTGTCTCCTCTGTTCTGGGTGATTCCATGAGCACGACGGATGAGGAGCTCCCGGAAATCCTGATATCGCCGGCCATCTCGCAGATATCTGCTCGTCTATCCGAAACATCACATAGTGGCTTCCTCTCTGGAGCTTGACTCTTCTCACCTGCAGCAGCTTCCAATAAGCAAAGAACTAGAACAGGAACAGGTTCTTAAGTTAGTAGCTATATTGACTCACCGTCTGCTTGGGTGCGATCATCGATGGTGTAGTTCGAGACGGTCGGGAGCGTCAGTCTATCGCGCAACTCATCTTGATTCGAGTTGAGATCGTCAGATCTCGCACCACTCTCCTCTGCAACACAGTAAGTGGAGTACAAGGTTACACGTCTCAGATGTTGTCATCTGATCGAGAAGCTACATGATCAGATCGTCGGCGTGGTCATAATTACCCGTCAATTCGTGGATGCTTGTGTCTTCCTTCGGAGTTGAATCAACAACCTTCTCTTTCTTTTCTCCCTGGAGGCTCTCCTCTCCGACAGCAGGAAAATTGTTAGATTCTACAGATCTAAAGCAAATTGCCTAAAGAAGAACCTAATTAAGTTGGCTCAGAATCCAAAATAGACCATTAAGTAACTCTTCATCAACAAAAAATCTCTTACGGGGAAGATCAAGTCACTAAGCTTCTCTTTTTGTCTCGATTTTGATCCAAGAACTTATGAGCAAATTCTAGTCACATAAACTGAAGGAATAGGTAGATTGGATGTGCAGGTAGATTACCTGAATCAGCCGCCCCCTCTATCCCATGGTCATCGCCATTCACGAGGTCGTGATCTGGAGAAAGAAGGGATCACTCTTAGACGATCAAAGCCTAGTCAAAGCTCAGCGGTATGCAAGATCTACAGGTTACCTGATGGTGGAGGCGGCGACGATGGGGTGAAACCGACTGCGACGGCCATAAACGGTGGAGAAAAGATTGATCAGAAACAGAGATTAGCTACCCAAAGAACACGAACAGTATCAGCTTACGTTTAGGAAGAACAAGCGCCTGAGGTTTAGACACCACCAAGAAGGTGACTGTGACCACAAGGCATCCGAGGATGAGCAGCACGAATCTGAATCTTCGCGGCTGGTTGGCGTTCCGAGTCAACCTCAGTCTGGAGGCCATCGTCCCCCAGCCCACCGCTGATCTGCTCACAAACAAGAGGGATGAAGAGGGAGGGCGGTCGTCGCCTGCTGCTGCCTTCCTCCTCCTCCCCCACCTTACGACATGAATTTGGACTGTATGGACTATCTTATCGATGACTTCTTTGTTTATTCTTCAACTCCTTAGAAAAATCTTATTAATTGAGTTGGTAAATCGATTTTATTTGTATGAATCGAAGAGTCCACGACCTCAAACTTGTACTGCTACTTTGCTCCATCGAAGTCTTATCACATGCTGAGTCTAACACGAAGAAACTAAGAGAACAGAAACCAATCACCAACCCAATACTATACAATGGTAGGCAGGAATTCAATCTCACCACAAGAACATGTCAACAGGGTTCCTATCACCACTTAGCTGTCATCTACGGAGTCTCCAACCGCAAACCTCGAGAAGACTGCACACACTGCCTCAAAATGAACGTGCCTGCGCAGGAATTCTGACATGCAATGGGGGTGCTAATTGGATCAAAAAAGTTCCAAGTCAGAAATGAGATGCAGGCAAAGAATATTAAATGTATGTCACCAGTTGCTACTGATGAGCTCATTGATTTCGGATTCCCAGCTATGCATCGATGAAGAAGCTATCTTTGGATTTAGTATCACACAAAGTGGACGAAGTCCATTAGAACACGCAAACTTAGGCTTAAAATAAACTTAAAGGAACCCATCACTGACCCATAGAAAAGGGACATTGAAAGACTAGAATCCAATCGACAGACATGACCGAACTACCACAATAGGGCCGACTGACATTGCCATCACCCAAGCAGATCGAGAGCTTTCTTCAAGACAGGTCTGAACCTGTTCAAATCAATCTTGACATTTTGTTTCTTCATGTATATGTTCGCCATCGCGAGCCATCCAAGCTTGTGAATCGAGTCCGGGTCTCTAAAGACGGGATCGTCTCTCGGGTACTGCTCCGAAAGAGTGCTTTCCTATTGGCTGATGGTGTACTGCAGGTAATGCAGCTTGGCAGCCATGGGAGGGTCTCCGTAATCGTGTTTGGCCATCCCTTCCAGGTTACCTAAAGGGACGACTTGGATGACCACAGCATTTGTCGGCAGGAAGAAGAAATTAGTGAGCCCGGAGCCATGCACGCCGAGCATCACGTCGCATGAGTTCACGGTCGCTGCGTACTCGCTCACGTTGGCTTCGAACTTCGCATCTGCCACCACCACCTCGTAACTCAACTCCTCGGCCATCCGAACGATCTCTTTGACGTTGGTGAACTTCCTGGTGCCCTTCCTGGCTATGAGCAGCAGCCTCGGTTTCTTGCCCGCCTGTTCTCCCATCCTAATGCCGGATTCCCTTACGAGCGAGTAAGCCATCCTTATGAACTCGGTGTAGTCAGCGGTGGAGTACCCGTTTGGTGTTCTTGCAGGGTCGACCTTCAAGTCGTCGTGGCTGTGCAGGCCGACGAACACAAGCGGGTAGCAGAGGACTCGATCGTTCTTGTCCAAATCGATGATCTCGTACCTAGTAAGCTTTTCGACGATGTGGCGGTACTTGAAGAGCCACCAGATCTTATAATCGGCTATGAGAAACTGCACTTCTCCATGGAACTGCCGTGCCGTCGCGAACAGGGGAACGATCAAGTCGGCGAAGTCATGGAAGTAGTTGCCCATGTACCCACCGTGGGCAAACACGACGGCGGGGACGCTGTGGTTGATGGCGCAAGCAGGGGGCTGCTTCAGCGCTGCCCGTCAACCTCACGCTGACTTCCTTCACGTTTGCCATCGCAGTCGGGTCTGCCTTGCGGGCTCCGCAAAGTGCCCCACCTATGGGCTCCGCGTGCCAGAAGACAATGGTGGTGGTAAGCGTCACCCCAGTCGACTTTAAGATTTGGTCGTCGGTGCGAATGCTGTTGTCCATCTACACCGTCCGTACGTCCGATGATCCCATCCTGGCGGTCCGTTTATATCGTGTGACAGTCAACCTTGCGATGGAGGGTGAAGATGGCTGGTCGATGGCTTCGGAATCCGACCTCGTACGCTCTGCTTCCTCACGGCGAACCAAGAAATGAGAGGAGAAGACGCTTCTCCTCTGCTGGTTCCCGCCGCTATCCCCGAGAGGGGGTTCGAAGAAGAGGATCGCTTGTGCTGCTCCCTCCGCCTTCGGAATGACGTCGATGTGGTCGCGGAAGCGAGGCGCCTGCTTTCCCTGGCGGGGCCTCTAATCGCTGCGAGCCTCCTCCAGTACAGCCTTCAGCTCATCTCCATCATGTTCGTCGGCCACCTCGGCGAGCTCAATCTCTCCGGTGCCTCCATGGCGACTTCCTTCGCCAACGTCAGCGGTTTCAGCGTGCTGGTGTGTGCTGTTCTCTCTCCTCATCTCCTCCTTTCTATCGCCTCGATTGGCGTCGGCGCCTATCGGATTCACAATCTTTTGGCGTCATATGTTTGCCATAATCTTTAGCTTCGATTGAATTAAAAAGCATGAAAAAACTGAATTTTGTTCGATAGACTGAGAAAAAGCAATGACCTGAATAGATGAAAAAGCGAGCTTTCATTTTTGTTTTCCTAGATTTGTCATGAATTTTATTTGGGCCTCGATCTCATTTTTGTTCATGATTTCAATTCATAGTGTCAGCCTGTGTGCAAAACGAAATTAGTGATCATCCTCATTTCAGATTACTTGGAGATGACAATCACTTTTTTCTCTTATCCAAGATCAATTTCATTATATAATTCCTTTCTATGTAGTGTCATAATGGTATATTGAAATTTTCCGCATCTTTTTTTTTTCCAATATAACAAGTTGGGGATGGCAAGTGCATTGGACACCTCATGTGGACAAGCTTACGGTGCCAAAGAATATCATATGCTTGGAATTCATATGCAAAGGGCAATGTTTATTCTTCTTCTTGTGAGTGTACCTTTGGCCCTCGTTTGGACCTACACAAGCCAAATTCTCATTGCAGCTGGCCAGAATCCAGAGATATCAGCTGAAGCTGGAAAATACGCTTGTTGGTTAATACCAAGTCTTTTTGCCTATGGTTTGCTTCAATGTCTCATTAAATTTCTGCAAACCCAGAACACAGTGTTTCCCATGCTGATAAGCTCTGGGATAACTGCATTCTTCCACATTTTTATATGTTGGGTTCTAGTGTACATTTCTGGCTTTGGAAGCAAGGGTGCTGCTCTTGCAACCAGCATATCATATTGGATAAATGTGTTTCTTTTAGTAATTTATGTCAAGTTCTCTCAAGCTTGCAAGGAGACATGGACAGGTCTATCATGGGAATCACTCAAAGATGTATTTGACTTTCTAACACTCGCTGTTCCTTCGGCTTTTATGATCTGGTAAGCCCTTTAGGAGTAGGCCTTGCACAAACTTTTGTTATTAATAACGGTGTCTCATTCTGGCTAACAAGGTCTGTCGAGACATGGTGCGATCAATAACTTAGTATGCATCACATAGGGGAAACTGGTAATACTGGAAATTGCTAAAAGCATGTGTACAATTGAAATATTTGTCTCTAGTTCGTACTTGAATTAGATTTTCTCTCCTGATCAATTGAAGCATTTTTAAGATCCGAACCAGACCATGCCATGAGGCTGCAACAAATTGCCACACACAACATGCATCACATGCATCACACAACAACCTAAGAGACATTAGTTTGATCAGGACATGAACCATCTCTATTGCTGTCACTGGTATGAAGTATGTTGAGTGTCATAGATGACAATTTTGAAGGGATTGAATACACTCGGCATCTACTGGCTCTGCTATGAATTGTGTTTTGCACCACATGCATCACATGTGGTCTTTAGTTTCATAGTTCTTTCAGTATCTGCCATCATTCTGATTACAGTACTTTGGGCCAACTAAAGTAAAAGATGTTATATTACTTGTTGATAGATGCTTAGTGTATACAATTCCTACAATAATGACAAATTAGGCCACTGAAAGGGAGAAGATACAAGATCTTGTCCTCTTTACCATGGCAAACAAGTGTTGCCAATAGTTATTGACATTAATTGTGGTCTTGCCACTGAAAATAGATGTATGGGAATGGCCTACTTCTATAATTTGCTGTATCATGCCTCAGTCATGCACTTCATCTGATTATGTACATGTTTGATCAGTTTGATCACAGATTTCATGTTGCTTTCTGATCTGTTTCTGTTTAACTCAATTTGTGTCCTCTTGCAATGAAGACATGAAATCTAGTTTCTGTTCATATAGCTGCATGCTATTTTTAACTGACTACAGTTACCTGGATGATAATGCAGCGTGGAGTTTTGGTCTTTTGAGATGGTAGTTCTCTTATCAGGTCTTCTTCCTGATCCAAAGCTGGAAACATCCGTTTTGTCAATCAGGTTAGTATCCATAATTTCCCGACTTCTGTAAAGGTTGTCCCTGAGATTCTTGAGCAAGCATCCGTGAATTTTCTTGCCTTCAACTAATAAGCCCATTGTAGACCTTCTAACCAGCTCCATTTTCAATTTGGAAAATGTATTCATTATTGTCTACTGCATCGCTAACAAGTATAGCATTCTTGTCAGTCTCAATACAATGTGGATGGTTTATATGATTCCCACCGGTCTCAGCAGTGCTGTAAGGTTTGTTGAGTTTTCTTCCCTTTGTAGCTCATGTAGCATTTTTAAATACTTATCATACATAGTTTTTCAGTATAAGAGTTTCAAATGAATTGGGTGCCGGGCAACCACAGGCCGCAAGCTTGTCAGTGCATGTTGTCCTAATCATAGCCATCATGGAAGGTTTGGTCGTTGCACTGATCACCATTTTGGTACGCAATGTTTGGGGTTACTTGTACAGCTATGAAGAGGATGTTATAAAGTATGTGTCAATAATGATGCCTGTTCTTGCCATATCCGACTTCATGGATGGAATACAATGCACGCTTTCAGGTTTTTAACAATGAAACTCAATCAAATGTTGTGCAGATGTCCTTAACTTGATGCGTTTTTGAGTTTACTCTTGAACCGTGAATACACTTTTTGTTTGCAAACGATAAATAATGCATCATTTTGTGTTATATAATTAACCATGTCCTACCCAGGATGGAATGACGCTTTATGGCTGCACATTGCATGTTATCAGTTAGGTGTACTTATCAATTTTTTTAATTAATTGATTACTGATTTACTTGAATACTGGCATGATTGATATAGACACTTTGATTGGCTGACTCTGATTGGCTTGTTAGCCAACCAGTTAGGTATACTTATCATTTTTTTAAAATTAATTGATTACTGATTTACTTGAATACTAGCATGATTGATATAGACACTTCGATTGGCTAACTCTGATTGGCTTGTTACGGGTATGACTTGAAAAGTTGTTTAAGAAATTGGCAACCAATGGCCTTGATGAACACAGTGATGAGGAGAGAAAAGATAATTAGAAAGCATGGTTAACATTTGGACTAAACAGTCAAAGAGAAAGTTGATACAACAATAGTGCCAGGGGTCCCTCAGATTGCCACTATTTTTTTCTGCCCTGCTGTCTCTCTCAAAACCCAAAACACAGAGAGAGAACTAATTATACCCCTAAATTTAACATGCCAACATATAGACTTTGGAGATAGATTCTGAAATTCGCATCTCTATACCATATAATGCCTATATGGTATTCCACTTTGTCGACTTAATTGGATGTGAACAAAAAACAACAAAATAAATGATGTTGGATTTTGATCAGCTTCTTTTTGATATGATTTTGTCTGTGATTGCAGTTTTTTCTTATAATATTGGATCTGCCTAAAACATATCTGTATTATGGCACATTTTTTACCTAGCATCTTGTAGTGTTTCTTCAATCATGCGCCGAATTATCTTCTCTTCTTTCTCCTTCATACAAAAATAGCCCTACCTGTTTGTATATAGAATCATTTATTTGAACTTACAACACCATGACATCTTATCATTGATGATTGAGAAAAATGTAATAGGTGCTGCTAGAGGATGTGGTTGGCAGAAGTTCTGTTCTTTCGTCAATCTTGGAGCATATTATGTTGTTGGCATTCCTTCAGCAATCATGTTTGCCTTTTTCTTGCATATTGGTGGCAAGGTATGTTTCGGTCGATTTTAATTCTGCATTGAATTTTCAGGATTTTCTTTCTCTATGTTGATGCTACATGTAGCCTTTCTGCAGGGACTTTGGATGGGGATCATATGTGCACTTGTTGTACAAGTCTTGGTTCTTACTGCTGCAATCCTGCGCACCGACTGGGGTCAAGAAGTAACTTTTCTTTTCGCTAATGTTTTCGTGCATGCAAATGTCAATGCTTCCTCCTCTCATATTTTTTGAGGATATTAGTTATTGCTGGTGAAATTAGGTTACTCTGGAGAAAGATTTATATGTTCACCAATATATGCTCTAGAAAAATGGTAACTGCAACCTGATATATACTGGTCTTAGATGGTACACCCTAATGCTATTCCTCCTCGTATTAATGATGCTAATCTTCCAAGAGTTTCTTACGTCTATGAGGTTAACCCTTTCTTAAGTGTTCTTCCTATAAAATTAACTTTTCTTATTTGGATGCTTTCTTCCTTAGGCAAAGAAGGCAAGGGATAGAGTTACGAGTGCTGCTATCCACACAGGTCACTCGGACAGGTTTCCTGATTCTCTACCATCCAGCATTGAAGCCTATTGACTTGTTCACAGTCACACCACTATCCAAATTGGTTCATCATTATCTGCATTCTGCAGTATGTTGAGCGATCAATCTGCACGAGTAAAAGAATTGAAAGCTAAGTCTCTTGTACTTTTGCTAGTCTATTCCAATTCAACATTCCTTCCACAGAATTGTGTTATTAGCTCATTTGTATTGACAAGAAACGCGAAGACCATATCCAGATGCATCAAATGCTTCACCGGCGTCTCCTCTTCTCGATAAACTTGCATTTCCAAAGCCACCTACTTCTTGTAAAGTGTAGCAGCATCTAAAGACTATGTGCTTTATCTATCTATAAATAGGACTAGACAAACAACACTAGATCTGTGCCAATTTCCCCATTCTAGTCTATAGTTCTCTACAATCTGCTTCCCTGTTCAACTAGGCAATGTCGGGCAAGGGCATTGGTGGTGGCAAAGGTGGCGGTGGAGGACACTCGGCAAAAAGTGGTGGCGGTGGAGGGCACTCGGCAAAAAGTGGTGGCGGTGGTAACAACTCGGGGAAGTCAGGTGGTGGTGGCAGTGGAGCGATGAAAGCTCCAGGCGGTGAGGGATACATATCAAGGGATGCCTTTGAGGGGAACCCCCAAGCCTACTTCCATGATCTCCACCATGATGACAAGGCTGGAAAGTGATAACGCGTCGTCTCCCTCAGCTACCTTATATTAATAATGCTCCATGATGTAGCTGTTCTTATGGTAGCTTGTTTTTGTTGGGCTTACTGTCTAATCCTTTAAATGAAGTGTCTTCAAAAGCTCTTATCTACATTTCCATCTTGAAATCTTTACCATTGGCTGCTAAAACAAATCTTAAAAAAGGATTAATACATTTCTGAGATTTCTATGAACAATCACACTTCTTTTTGGTTCATTTACAGCGTTCTAAAATTCATATCTGGGTTTTTCAGTCTGCTTCTGCTACATCACTTTGTTGCTTCAATCAGCAACCTTCAATTTGGGACGATGAATTCATTCTGGACTTCTTTCTCCTTCAGACGTGACTAACGCTATCCAGTTTACCTGTAGCATGCATTATAGTTGCAATCTTTACAAGTATTTTCTCAAGTAAAAGAACAGTTCGATGTTGTACCCGACGCCGGCGCCGCCGTTGAATTTTGTTTATGATTCCAAGAACCAAAAATATCGGTAAGATTACTCCGGCAGTCTTCAACACCAGCATCTTTGTTTTAGATAGGCAAAGATAACAAGTTATTTAGAGCTCGAGAAGCGATCAATTGTATGGTACTGAAAGTTTACCGAGAACAGGGTAAATGAATACTCGTCGTCATCGCTGATCAAGAGAGGAAGGGCATGCCGAAGAACAAGAAGAACCATGAACTGGACAGAATGGAGAGAATAATTAGATGAAAATGTATGAGAAATAAGAATCGAAATTAAACAGTAAAGAAACGCACGATTACAGTGATTGATCGACAGCAAAAAGTGTTGCTTGTCCTCGAATGGTCACGATAACCCACAGCTGAGTCAATGGCACCATGATCTGACGGAAACATTGTGATGAACTGTGTATCACGAAAGTCCTGTGCAGAGATCTCCCAGCTTCCTCACACGCACAGGGAGAGAGTGATTGGAATGACGAATCTACCTAAGAACAGTATGCACATCAACATGCTACATAAGAACTACCTAAAGTTCATCGGAGTACTCCCGTAATCGTACAACTTTGGCAGAGTGGTATAACCTGGATTGAATTGCTGAACACAAGAATTGAGAATTTAGGTGCTGTGTTTTCTGCTCATTATTAAATGCAAGAAGCAGCAGTATTCTTGTACAAGGATGGCTATAACCTGGAGGCATATCTCGCACATCGTATCGCCTTTCTGGTTGCACCAACGTTGAACGCATACCCGATGAGCATACTGCAAGTAGAAAAAGGAAACAGTTCATAGATCTTGTGTTTGTTATGCTGATCAAATTTGGCAAAGCTTTGTTACCTTCAAGCTGCCCCTGCATGAGCAGGGGATCTCCATGTTGGAATCGTGGTCTTCTTCATGGCAGATTCTGCACTCCTTCAACTTTGCTGATGCAGCAGGGTCAGCCGATGATGATGTTGTATTGGTATCTACGAACGCATGTTTCCTGTTTCCAGCTGCAGCTTCAAGGGTCGGCTTCGCCAGCAAATCATCCACAACCAGAGCGAGATGGTCTCCCATTGTTTTGGAATCCGAAAGGAAGACAGAGCAAGGAGCACGATAACGAGAAAGCAAGAACCCACAAATTAATGAGAGAAGAGTGGGAAGGGAACAGACTCAAGTTCGGCAGAATCCGCACAGGAGGAAGAACACCTGGAAGGAGAAGAACCCACGAACTCTGGGTAAAAAGGAGTTAGACGGAATGGCAGCTTTCGTACGCGTCTCGATGGCTTTCTCTCTTTCCTTCTCCTTCCTCCGGGGACAACACAGGCCAAGGAAAACCAAAAACATGTGAAGGAGAATCACAGGTAGCAGAAGGGAAGGAGAGGAAGACGTAGAAGGTGGGATTTGGCTGATGAGTCGGGCTGAAGGAAGGGAAATGGCGAAGAGGCGAGAACAGAGGAAGAGGTGGCGGTGCATTTGAGGAAGCAAGAGATGGAGTGGGGTGAAGGTCTTTGCCAAGTCATTTCTCTTTCTACTCTTCCACTTTAAATCTCTTTTTTACCTCATATAATTTTTTTTTACTATTTCTTTAAGTCATTAATTATTTTGACTGTCTCGAAAAGCGTAAAACTATTTTTTAATGAATTATATATATAATTATTATTATTATTTTCATGATTTTCTTTAATTTCTTAATGTCACTTATTTTTAAGGAGTCAAACTTACGTCCCCCGATCGCAACCTCCTACCCGAGCACGCGAAAGGACGCAGTGGAAATCGACGAAGCCACTCCCTCCGATCGATCCCCGGTTCTCCTCCCGTCGGTCGACGACTTGCTCTCTCTCACCATCGTCTTGCTTTCGTCTCTCTTGGGTACGGTTTCGATTTCCTCCCGATCTTTTTCTCGATTCCGGCTTGATGTGATCGTTCCTTTCTTGTATCTACGCCACGGGGACCTGCCCATTTTTGTTGATCGGCCCTTCTTTGCCGTGCATTCAGACGGAAAGATCTAGGGCTTTCGTCTTTGGGGGCAACGAGGAGTTCTTGAATTGATTTGTGGAGTGAGTGCTGCGCGGTATATGATCGTTCTTGGTCTGTGGATTTATCATAAAACACGGTGTAGCAATTCTGTTTCCTAATGAGATCTTTTCTTGAAGTTCTTACAAGAACTATGGTTATGTTGTATAGGAAGAATCGTGCTTATTCACGTGGATTAAAAGATCCTTTCTGGTAGAATACGGAATTCTTGATAATAATTAAATGTTTGAAGTGTAATGAAGAAAGTGTCGGTCATTTGGGTTGCTTGATCACAGCGTGTGTTTAGTTGTCGATGATTGCGCAAGATTTGAATGGAATTTTCTTATTTCATTCTCTGGCTTATTCGTGCTAAGGTTCAGGCAACATTGCTTCCGTGTTTCATAAGCAGTTTGTAAGTTGGACAACCTTCTTCTTTCATGACGCAATTATCTGATCTTGATCCAGACTGTAGAGATTATTCTTGGTTTACCTATCGGTTCAGTTTCTTGTTTAACATGTCCCTCAAAATTGTGGGTTCTTGGTTACATATTTTTTAGGAACCTTTCACATATTTCTTAGGCTAATTGTTTTTAATTTCTATAAAGAATAATTGATTTGTTTTGTGATTACTATTTTTGATGATTTAGTTCATCCGGAACACTTTTAGTCTGCATCGTCCAAACCATTTTTCTTCTTTGTAGATTTACTTTGTATCCTTGTGTTTTGGTGTGTGATTTAAGTTAGTCGGTATATGAACTAGAGGAAGCCCCAATTTCTACTGATGTGCAGGCTGAAGAATTTGCTTTTCTCTTAAGCGGAAAGACTAATTCTAAATGCTAAAGTTCTCTGCCCTTGCTTTTCGCCATCTTGGCAGCATAGCTTTGTAGGTGGTGCATACTTTTTAGGCATCTAATCTAGGTAATTAGATGGATGTATACAACAGAACCAACTTCTGCAATTGAGAATTCCATGTCTGCCATGAAAATTACTTGAACTTATCTCCAACCATTAAAAGCTTTAGTATCAAGTTTACTTTGTTTTGAAGTCTACTCATCAGTCATCCTTGCAAGGATCAGTTTTCTCACCCGCATCCGGCTTTTGCCATGATGATCAATTGATTCCTCTGTTGATTCTGCATTGTCATAAAATGGCTTCAAATTGTTGACCAAATTATGCATATTAGCTAATTTATTTTCTCATAGGTACTACAGCAGACATATGGCTAGATTGAATTTACTTGTGGGTGTCAACTTGACATCTGAGCATGTAATGATGCATTAATCAGAAGCACAATCATGCCTTTGAAGTTTAGTTTACCGTGTGACTTTATGATGGAACATTCAACTCGAAGAGTTATTGTCTTGAAAGACCGGCATGAATAGTCATCGAAGATAACATTTGTGATAGAATGCTTCTTAATTTTAAATAATAGTAACATTAAAGGTTTCATTTGTTAGTTGATGCTGCTATGATCTCTTTCAATCCATCCTGTTTCTTTGTTCATCAATTTTCCTGGTTTCTAAATGGAGAACTGAACAATTAGTACATTTTCATCTCATTGGTTGTAGTTGGTTATGAGTCAGCATGTCACGTTCCTCTTACTTAATGAAATAAATTTTCAAAAATGTTTTGTTACATCTGGTGCAGCTGGTAGAATGAAGCGAGTGAAGTCCGATTTGAATCCTCATGCCGCTCCTTATATACCTCGTTCAAAACTTTTTTCTGGAACAATATACAAGTCTGCAGAAATGGCAATTAGTCCTGGAAAATACAAGGCTACTAAGAAGCCTATGGAATATCAGCTTCCAAACTCCTTGAACTATGACACTAAGGACTTTGAAAGACTTAATCTTTCTAGTGAATTGGCCTCAAAAATTGGCCAGC